GTTTAAAGTACGTAAATACACCGTTTTTACGGATTTTTAACGCGTTTCTACGCAACATTTTAAAAAACGTTGTACTGCATTAAAATTTACTCCGTAGTTACCCATTGAAATGAGGAATTTGGCGTGTTTTTACACGTTATTTTGTGAGTTTTAACGTGTAAATCACAGAAGACAAAGCTAACGGAGATACAAAATCGTAAAAATGTGCGCTTTTCCCGATTTTATTTTCGTTAAAATTTCTACGTCGTATTTCTCCATTTTTTTTTGAGTTTTGTCTGTGTGGGATATCGAACATATTCTTGTAATAGAAATTATTTATTAGTGGCATCTATCAAATAAATATACTATATATTTTAAATCGATATATATATATATATTAAGAACTTTCTCATGATTCGTTGAACATAATCTTTGATAAGAATTTGTATATAACGAATTAAATTTTATTCGAATTCTATCTGTCTATCCTAGATCACTTTTAACGTCAACAAAAAATCGAGCTTACAATCCAATGTGTGAAGACGGATATGATAATAAAATTCCCTTACATAATGATGAAGCATTTCAACATGGAATCCAATTTAAAGTTAAAGTAAAATTTTTTTTGAAAAATTTTATTATTTAAAAATATAATGAATTTTCGTAATTTAGTATATTGGAGCACTTGAAGTACCTAAACCAACAAGTCGCAATGAAATTATAGCTGCTATGCGTCGTATACGTGTAAGTACTTCATATATATATATGAAAAAATTCATAAGTAAAATATTGAATTTAGTATGAATTTAAATCTCGATCAATTCGTAAACGTTCTGTTAATTTAACAATATCTACTGATGGTGTTAAACTTGGTCTATGGAAAAAAAATCAAGTAAAATTCAATTCAATTATTTCCTTCTATTTATTTGATTATTTTCTTTATAGAAAAATATGTATCCTGATGATGATCGAACATTTTTAATGCAATATCCAATTTATCGGTAATAACAATAAGAAAAAAACATATATTTGTTCAATTTAATTTTTTTTAGAGTCTTCTATGTATCACATGATAGTCAAGATTTGAAAATTTTTAGTTTTATTGCAAGAGATCATACAAATAATACATTTCGTTGTAATGTCTTCAAAGCATACAAGAAGGTAAATAGTGTATTAAACTATTTTAACTACCATATAATACATTCAAAGTTTATTGCTGTAATGAAGCATATTGACTAAAAATTGTAACATAATATTGATTTGATATTCTTAAGCCTTGTATGACGAGCTTTTCTTCTCATTAATGTTACAAGTTTTGCCAAAAGGTTGAATATAAGCGATAGCCAGGATAACTTTTCAGCTGTATAACACGAATGATGTGTAAAGATATTTAGTTTTAATAGTATGTGGAAATGTATTTATGACATAATTAGGGATGCGCAGTTTCAGTACAAATGCTGAAAAACTGTCATTGTCAGGGCTGACAGTGACGCACCGTAGCACTGACACTGGGTTCACTGGTGCTGTCAATTCATCCACACTCGTCGGTTTCGATGAATCTACAGCATCAGTGAGTCCGGTGTCAGTGCACGGTTTACTGAAACTGTGCACCCCTAGAAATAATAGATTACATATATACGAAAGAATTATTAAATTTAGTGAAGTTTAAATTGAACATGTTTAGACCTAACTAACTTTAATGTTGTTAGAGTAGACATGATAAGAGATCTTTGATTGAATCGATTTTCTTTTTAGAATGAAGCAATACATATTGTCCGTACAATTGGTCAAGCATTTGAAGTTTGTCATAAATTAACTTTACAAACATCAATGAATAGCCCAACGACTGTAAATCAATCACCACAACAAGCGAATAGTTTGTTTATTAAATAAATACGATTTCTTTATTAATTTAATATTTTTTTTTCAGAAGCATTTGAATCAGATCCAATAGAAAAAACTGAACGTTATTTACAAAGTACTCAACAACCAAATGTAGTTATTTTTTTGTACAAAAAAAAGATATATTATTTTTAATTTTAATTTAGTCTTCAAATAATACGGAAAGAAATTCAATAAATGTAGTTCAATCTTCTTCAACAAGTGAATTTACTCTTAAACATCAAATGCAATTTATGCAAGAACAATTACAACAAATGCAAAATGAATCAGAGCTAACATTTAATCAAATTAAATTACTTAAAGAACAATTAAATATTGAAGTTTCTGCTCGAATTGATTCACAAGTATGTTTATAAATTTTTTATTTATTTTACACTCTTCATCTTTTTTTTCTTAGCATAAAAATAAATTATTAATTGAACGTAATCGAGAATTATTAACACATATTCAACAATTAATACATTATACACAAGAATTAGAAATGAAATTAAATAATAACAATAAAAATTTTGAAGCATTAAAGGTATTTGATCTTTTCTATATCTCTAATATGAGTAATGCGAAAACTGTAAATATAACAAGTAACGCTCATCCGAGGACTCACTTAGGTCTCTCTCGTAGAAATGCATCCTCTTCACATCTACTGAAAATCGCGAAAAATAGGTTTTCGATGTTTTTTTGACCTTTGTACCCTCTTCATATGGTCACCCAACACCTCTCCGCATCGAATTACCTATAGAAATGTCTTTTCTTGATAATCGGTTTTCGATGTTTTTTTGACCCTGTGGACACACAAACAATTTATGATTACAGGATTCTTTTCTACGAGAAAGAGAATTATATGATCACTAGTTCGAACTAAGAGATACATTGTATCAATTCGGATATTTAAGAATTTCGATTATTTTTTTTGTTAAAGAATCTTCAATCACGTCCTACGAATTTATTACTTCTTCCATCCTTATTTTCAACTTTATCAACTTCGACTTCTACAAATGGGATATCAAATCCTCAAGATTTCTCAAGTGATTCACCTGATTCTGGTAAAGGTAAAGAAATTTCATCAGAAAGTATTTCTGATGCATTTATATCAAGTATTCATGATCAACAATTAAATAATTCATGGACTCATAATAATTCAACATCAATACTTGATGATATAACAACTCAATCAATTTCAATAAATGATACCGTAAAAGAAAAAATCTATAAAAATTCTTCTCTTAATCTAATATTTTTCTTTAAGGCATCAAAAAATACAAGTACAAATAATAATCCTGCTTATGAAGAATATTCTTCAACATCATCATCTCATTCTTCAATAAAAAATTCAAATAAAAATCATGTTGAACATTATCTTTACGATCATATTATTCCAACATCATCATCGTCATTTACAAATTCAGCTTTTACACAAAGTCCATTACGTACAATAAATAATTAATACAATACAAAAAAGAGAGAGAAGAATAAAAGAAAACAAAAAAACTTTAGATAAATCGTCTTTCATTATAATCATTATTAATTATTTTTCTACTCGGTGTGTGTGGATTAATACGCACAATTGATGTTCTATACGTTATAGAACTTTACGTTACGTTCTTTCTTTCTCTCTTTTTATTATGTCAGATATGTTACTCTGTTTTCAAAAAAAAACACGAACGTTTGCTTATAATTTTAGAAATAAAATAATAAACTTATATTGAACATTTTTTTCCACTGGAACTTTTTTGTGAAAGTTCACTGTACTTCCGTCAACACATATGTTCTATCGGCGAAGTTCCGCCAGTGTTTTATCTAGTCTGTGGGCAGCGCCCACCCGGAATTTTCATTCCGGTAACCTC